AAGGTGGAAGTTTTTCGAACGAGCCTCGGACAACACGCTCTGGTGAGCTCCGTTTCGTGTGTTGCCATGAATTTCTAGTCGTATTCAACCCGTTCCATTTTTGAAACGTTGCGTTCAAGTCGTGTCTTTCTGCATTGCGTTCTTATGCTTCAATGCGATTGATTTGCTTCGAATGCACATCAATGTTTAGTTTAGACATTTCTCGTAGATTTATAAAGTATTGAAATTTCAGGTTGGAACTTATTCCGCTCTGAATTCAAAAGGAGCACTAGTCCCAGCCAAAACTCCTCCAGAAACTCAAAGAGAAATAGCTGCTCTGTTGCAAATCCCAGTTGTTGCTGGTACAGTTAATAGGTAAATATATCAATCAGTTTCTTTAACCTAATCAACAAGATATCTAACCATATCGAAGTTTGACTACACTTTGTCACGTAGGACAGAATTGATTATTGATCAGTTGATTCGATCATTCTTGATTTGATCAGTAGCAAGGTATTCAATTCATTCTCATCGTCAGCAAGTGTTAGTGAAATAGCTTTTATCTCTTTCATTGTAACGGTCAGAGGCAATATAAACGTGTTTTGTTACCATTTACAGAAGCATGTATTACAGAGCTTTCGGTCGTTCACTTTAGTTGTATTTTTTAGCTGAAGCAAAACATTTGATGATGTTGTTTTATATGTTAAGAAATGATCAGATATGAAACGCTTTCAGAGGAATCGAGTTGATAGGTGCAGGTTTGTGTGTGAACGATTGGATCGCGATCACAGGCCTTAAAACCACCAGTACGGAGTTATCAGTCATTGAGTCAATATTCAAATTAACTGATTATCAGCATAATGAAGCTTCTTCATCAGCCATCACAAACGAACTTCGTGAAACACTCATAGAAAGTCTTATTTGACGAGATGAATATTTCTGTTCGTTTTCCTAAATTGTTCCATCCATTTTGATAGCCATCTACCAAACATATTTTCACTTTGTGGTTACTGTCGAAATGATCTGTTTGTTCAGTTTAAATCAGAGACAACTCATTTGAAACAATGATTAATTCTGTTTTTTGAAGTTTTGTCATTACTCTTTAAAATAAATTCATCTGCCCATATAATTTTCTAGAAAAAAAAGCATGTATATTTATATATATGTGATGGTGGTTATTAGAAAACAAATCTTAATTATGATTCGAGTTTTACAATTGATTTAAATGAAGCAAAATACATAAAATTTACACATTGCACTCAGCAGCATTTGAGTTATTGGTTTGTTGAGCAAAATTCACATTGTTTGTTGTTCAGATGCAATTGTATTTTATTGTTGTTTGATTGTTATTCGTTATTTTCATTCATACAAATTACTTTTTCACACCTTTCTCTTTGTTCTTCATTGATTGGGTTGTTTACCCGTTTATCAAATACCACTCAAACTTATCATTTGGCCTTCAATATTTTCATTACAAAGTACCACCCCACCAGTGAGCAATATAATGTCGCATCCGAATTGTTTCTTGTTGAATTTGGGTTCATAACTTTGAACCACGAGAACGAAATCTGAAGTCTATAGGATTTCTCAATTCATTATCATATTACGTAAGGGCACCATTTGCTGTAAGTTTGCGTGTTGATAGAACGCGTTCATTGTTTTTTGAAGTCTTGCGTGTAATGTCGTTCTATGTGATTTGAACGGAAATACTGAGACCACGAAAATAAAAATCAGAAAAGAAACAAACTGTTGCTTATTGGCTGTCAGTCTGCAAACAAGTATTTGATTTTCAAAAAACATGCTAAACAGCATAAGCATCAACAACAACACTTATTCGAAGTGAGAAAAAGAAAACGTAAGGGAAATGTAAAGTGAGAAAAACAAATCGAACGAGTCAAACAAGGCCACTTAACGGTCACCGGCCGTATCATTATGATCTCTGAAGCAAACAATAGTGAAACGACGGTGTATTACTACCGGAAGTGGAGAATGTTGAAGATACGAAAAAATCATTAAATACACGAATGTCGAAAAGATGCGGAAGAAAACTGATAGCAAAACTGGTTTTCTTGAGTTTTAACGACTCGTCAATCGAAAAAATCCACATGATGTTCATATCAAATGAATGAGAATTATTTTCGCTGTCCAAATTATTAATGAATCTCTTAATTCAATGCATCGTATTTGACTTATTTTTTTTGAACCAATGACGAATATCAACTGATTTTTAAATCAGTTACCTCGCATTTTCTTGAAATTGTGTTGTACAATTGCACATTTGAATCTGAATTCTTTGAAAGAATTAGTTTGTTCCCGAAAAATTATCAATCGCATCGGTAATAGTGATCTCTACATTTCAAGTATCATTAAACTTTCAACAGCTTATCACTTCAGCAGGCATGTAAAGTGTAATCATCCGAATGTTGACACAAGTCACGCCAATTGCCACCTAAATGCACTTCAGAGTTCCGTGAATCAATACAGCATTGTAATTCAATGTGAAAGGTATCTACTTTGTCGAAGAATACTTGATTCGTTATTGTATTTTGGGATTTAGTTCGGGTCACATCTTCAGAGGACAGACATTTAGTAATTCGCATAAGGCAAAACCATAATTAATAAGTATTTATTTATTTGCCATTTTAAATGAATAGTTGATTTTTTGAGTTGAATATTTGTTATTTCAGCTCACCGCTTCTTGCCAGTCAACTAAGGTTTTGCGGTTTGTTGAATTGTGCAAAATTCACCAAAATGGTTGTTACTTTAGATGATTTAGTGCGAATTCTCTCACAGTACTCAGGCCGTGATAAAACTTTACGAATTGCTTATTCTATTCTCATCCTTTATGCAACGCACATTAGAGATGAGGTATTCATTCCATTTCATCATTTATCTTTTATTAGCTCAAGAAAGGATATGTGTTTGTTGGAATTGATGAGATTACACTATCGTAACGAGTAAATCCGATTTGTGATTCTCATTCATTTCGTGCACATAGACGACGTATTCAGGTCAAATCGAAACGCTTATTAGCACTCTCGAAACAATTACGTTCAGCGCGTCTTGTGCTTAAGCAGTTCAACCATGCCGCTGCATTGCACGCAGCTGTTCAGCTGACCCATTGCAGTCGCGAAGACTTAGTCGATTTCTTGTTGCAGGTTAATTCTTGCTCCATTCCATTTTGCGTCATCTGCAGTTTAATACGCTATATTTGCAAGGGAATTAGTGCATTTCACGTAGTGAGTGATGTGAATTAACAGTAGAATCGTTGAGCGAATGCTTATTGTGAGTGAGTATTGTTGTGTTCAGCGAGTCGTTTCATCAAGTTTTGTAAGGTAGTTGGTGATTATTTCGGTGTATTATTGAGGTGTTGGCAAGGAATGTGAATTTGATACATGGTTTTGTGGAATCATTGGCATGGCTAGCAGACGCGAACATAATCAGTTTGGATGCGGTACGCTTGTTTGGTGTGTGTAAATATTTATGGATGGTGGTATTATTCTCTTCAATAATTCGTCTTTCACGAATCCTACTCCGCAAAGGTGCGCTGATAAAGTGTTGTGATGAGACGATTACTCTTCTCGGTCAAGTCTTCGATTTTGTTAGCGTTGTTTCCGCACTGCCATCCAATATCCTTTGGGCTGGTCGTCTCAACTCTACACAAACGACTACGTTTTCGTTGATTGCTTCATTGATCGCTCTGTATAGATGTTTTTGAGGTTATGCTGGTTTATTGAAACAGTTGAACGTTATTGATATATTGCTTACGTGACTCTTCTAAGGAGTCATTTCTGATTGTGAATATGAATGTTACGTGTAAGTGCTCAGGTATTTGTCTGGTATCGTTATCCTCAGCCATCAGTTGCTAACTTTCACTTGTGATTTTGAAAGTATTCAGTTGCAGAACATGTAATAAGATTTGTTGTTGATATTAGAAGTGCATTTATCAATTGTGCCATCATATATTTTCGATATGTGCAAGTAATTATTGCATAGAGCGTGTTTATCATGTCTCGTTGATCAGTTGTATGCTCATTGTCTTCGAAGCAGTTCCATGGTGGAATTATCGCAGGCATTGAATTGTTTTTTCGCATAATTGTTATTGACAATCAACTGACTATCGTTTTGTTATTCCGATTATAATAAAAGTGTTTTGACTTTACAGCTGTTTTTTTTTTGGAATTAATTGGTATATTCGCCATCAATCTTTTTATCTTTTAAGGCTACATTATTCGTATTCATTCGGTGTCCAGTCTTTTTTCTTGAGAAATGTCTAAGAAGATGAATTTGTAGTGGCGGAACAAAACGCCTTTTGCAGGCGGCTCGTCGACGAATTATGAGTTGCGGTGTTGAAAAGTGAGTTGTTTTATTCCTGTGCAAATTCGAGTTTCTAAAAAAGCGTTTGAAAGCTCTACAGGTGATTGATTGATTGCAAGACTGTAATGATGCTGTTGTTAAGGCTTCCGTATTTTTTCTGCTGCACATGGAATCGCATATCAGTTGCGATGTGCTATTGTTTGCCATTAAGAGTATTTTCTCGGTACAACACCCTGTCATTTGAACGCGTACTTCTTTTTGAAGAAGTAGGTGGTAGATCTATATTGGATTGAGAATGTTAATGGTAAGTATGTTAATGAGTGTTCTTTTAGTTCGTTTATGAATAGAAGAGCTGGATTTGGTGAAGCATATGAACCAACCCGTTATGAGCATTTAGCCAACGTAATATCACATGGAGTAAGTTGATTTTTTTGCATGCGCATTACTGCAAACGCCATTATGTGAAAGTTTTTATGCAGTTCTTTGACGAAGTTTGCTTCGATTCATTTCAAGAGTAATTCTAGTAGATTTCATTATTATATGACATAATTAAACGTGGCGAATCTAATGCGTTCGTGCACTATTCAAATGATTGTCGCTCTGAAAATTTATACACTTTAATGATTATTGCAGTTAAAATTGGAACAGAAAGCTGTAAATATCAAGTATCTTGAGCGGATAGGTATCAGGTTAATGAATTGTGCACAAAATGGTTATTAATTAGTACAGTCTAGCGATTTTATTTAGGTGGCTGTAGTACCAAGTTTCTATGCAATGAGGTGGATGATGGCAGCTTCTTACCGTGACTTACAGTTCCGAGTATCATTTATATATGGCTTTTTTACAACGGTACGTTTGTTAGTGTGTCAGATGAAACTGTCTAGTTGGGATGTTAAAGTTATTTTCTGGTCTTGAATTTATATGTTTTGCCGTTCAGTTCAATCTATTGCAGTTGTTATTTTTGACGTCGACGAGTTATCATTTTTGTGAAATGCTGTTCCGCCCTCATCGAAGGTTAGCTTCGTCGTTGGTTTTAGCTGCTCTCATTGTTTGATCCTTATGAGCAACTAGTTATCTTCGCTAAATAAGTTAATGCATCATTCTTACGGATATATTGCCAAAAAGTTATAAGTGAAAGCAATCATTTGTCAAGAAGAGGAAATCACTTCGGAAATATATGGACTCACGAGATTTTCAGAAAACTTCGTTACTACTTACACATTGTGGATCGTGCAGCTATTTACTTCTTTATCGCAGCTTCTTACACACCGTGGCTCACTTTGAGACATTGTGCATATCCCGGACTTAATATCAAATGGATTGTTTGGTTGCTCGCTTGTATTGGCATTCTCTATCAGTACACCTTTCACGAGAAGTAAGAGCTTTAGTCTATGTGAACAATGTTTGATACTTGTGCTCACGTTTCCGGAGTCGTCTTTCTGGCACTTTGAGTAAAACTCAAACGACAAACTTTTTTCTCTCATTCAAAAATTTTGTGGTGAAGGTGTCTGTTTTGTGCTTGAGAAATCGATCAACTCAAGTTTAGATACAAAACGATCGAAACTCTTTTATACATCGTTATGGCTTGTGGTCCATCAGTCGCCATATTTACTATGGTAAGTTCCTGCAGCGTTCAACTTTATAGTCTTGAATTCATTCTGATGTAACTGAAATGAAACTTGTAGCTCATGACTGGAATCAATAACTTTTAATCATTGCTTTTAGCTGTTCTTGGTTGATGTGTACAGATCAGATTGAAGCAGTCTGGAAATTCAGGCCCATTCAGTTGATTTCCACTTGTGGAGTTCGTTGCGTGGATTAACCGAAGCATTGCATTTGGTTGATTACGAAATAATTTTTAGAATGATCGCAGTGGATTGGGATTTATGGGAGTCGGAGGTGTCGTCTATCTTTTTGGTGTCATATTTTTCAAGCTCGATGGCATTGTTCCGTTCGCTCATGCAATATGGCATGTTCACGTTCTGATAGGTTTTGCTTTTGTTTTCGTTCATTTTTCTTTTTCCTCTGTCACCTAGTATCATATAGTTCGAAGTGGTTTCTGTTCATGTATTCCATATTTCCAAAATTATTCAGCGTATTTAATCCCTGACTAATGGATATCTCATTTGTAAGAATTTGTTCAGTCAAATAATTTTCAGGTGCTGCACTACATCTTTATGCCGTTTATAATACTCTGCTAGGACCAGACCGCATGAATCCATTTCCGGACATCAGTAAAGTGCATGCTGAATTCTAACCGTAACAATTAATCAACTAACTACTAGTCGATATTGAATCTTACCAAAAGATCTACAAGTCTTATCATTGTATCCGCCATTTAATATTCAACAACTAATTATTCCAGTGCAGTTGTGTCCGTAGCGTGTCGAACACATCTCTTCTCATTCTACAGTGTTAATCTGTTCATGTTGACTAATCGCATAATGTATGTCAGTGATTGTGAGTGTCGTATTTTGTTTATTACAGAGATCTTGTTGCTTCTCATTGCCTGTTTCGCCCAGAATCTCATCTGGTAACATACTTCTGATATGTACTTGGTTACGTTCGGTTACTAACCCAAAATCGGTCATATCGTCAACGTTTCAAAAGCTCAAGCAGTATATCAGAAGTGATGTTACTTCATCAATATTGTAGTTTATTCAGTTGCTTTCGTTCAATACCTTTCTCGATCTGATGAATGAACTAAGCATATGTCTTGCCAACTTTATTTATGATTGTTCCGAGCATTGTTTAATGCCCAAATAGATCTTATTCACCTCTCACATTGTCGTTGTAATTATTTATTGCGCTCGAATGCCATCAATTCGTAAAGATTGTAAATTTGTTCACATTTGCGATATACTAATGACAATTAGAACTCCATTCGTTAGAGATTAGTTATGTCAGTATTCATGATTAATTATCGTTATGATGCGGTCAGTATAAATTGTATTCAGCCATAATTTGGTTCCTGAAATAAACTGAAATTTGGTGAGAAAAAATTCAGTTGACCGATGTTACTTTAATACATTCCTGATTGATTGCAGAGAAAACTGCTTGTTGAGTAAACTTGTGGAACGATTAAACAATAATGTCTTCGGGAATGGTTGATGAATATTGATGTGTTGATTCAGTAGCGTGCTAAAGTGAGGTGATTGAACGATGAAAGACTGAGAATGCTTGAACACATTATCACGGTATCAAAGATGATGGATTCAGTGTTTCTCTCGACGGTAATTGGATGACATTTCTATGAGTACAGTTATGGCGATGCAAAAACAGAGCTAGTGTTGCATTTGGTGAGTTATACAAGCACCTGTGGAGTAAGCATGGAGTCAAATTGAGTACTGTATTGTTAACAACACCATTTTAAACGTATCGAAAATACATCAAGAGGCTGGATCTGTCCGGTTTTGTGTAAAGTCGCAAGCAGTATGTAAAAAGACATGACAAGGAATACCAATCGTAAGCTGCTGGAAAGATGCAAGTATCGAGGCATGCATCATATATACCCGACTTTGCTGGGTTCGGCATGTAATTTGGATGCGCATTACTAAACTAGTGTGGTGCAACGACTAAAGAATAGTCGGGGACGAGATTTTGCAGTTGAGGACTCTGAAAATGCCGTTGGCTCGAAAAAAGTCGGGGACGGCGACCCCGAATTTCACAACATAGATACTTTTGTAAAACACGACAATCTCCTGAAATAGATCTTGAAAAGAACTCAGAGTTGCTGGGTAAACTTGAGGACACAGTTCGAAAATGGTGCTCATGATAGCGCATTAGTAATGAAATCGCTCAGCTGTATGGCATACAATCGTTAGCTTAATTGAACTGTATAAAAGGGAAGTGTGCAAAATCGCTCGACAACATATATACTTTCCTGAAACCAGACAATATCCTCAAGACGATTTTGAAAAGAACTCGTGAATTGCCGGACAAACCTAAGCCCAAGCCTAAGCTGTATATTAGTCACTTAGCTGGTTTTGAAAAAAAAATTTTACATGATGAAGTGAATCGTGTTCAAAGAGTGCAGTTATGTATAACTAGGGTGAGGTCAAGGACAAAATCCGGTTTGGAGTTTCTAGAGGTCAGGATACCTAAGACCTCGAAAGTGCTCAGGGTACTTGATGGTAGGGGATAGAGGGTCGGTCGATGGCCCCGAATCTACCTCTGGGGTTTCCTGTTCTAATCCTATGTGTAACAGTGATTCTCACATGTGGGACGGAGAAAATTTGTCCTAGAGGTTGTTTGAAAATGGTGGGGAGGTTGGTAAATTAATTTGGCTGTTTTTTCATATTTTGAGAGTCATTTTTCAATAATGTTCTCAAAATGCTTTACTGACCACAAACAATAACTGACTTCTTTGACACTGTAGACGAAATGTTGACAGCAAACATTTTCTATTTCTTCCAATATTTCGTACCAGGAGAACGGCCAAGGAGAGCATAATACCTAAGTGTTGCTCATCAACCGGTCAAAATTATTTCCGAAACTATTTGCAATACGACACCAAACCAGTGATAGAGCGGTGCGAGAATGATATCCGTAATTAGAGTGGAGTTGAGGATTTAACTTTGAATCGTTCGGGCACATTGAATTCGGTGGTAAAGCACCAGAACATGAAAGATGGGTAGAATTAGCATTCGCCCCGAGACGAATATTAACGGATTAGGAAACTGGAAAAGTTTTTCCATTAAAACACCAATGAAAAGAAAATTATTGTCAAGCCTAGAGCTGAGAAATAAATTCAGCGAAATTATTATCAATGGGTTAGGCTGAAAAGAAAAATTAAACGATTCAATGAGCTAACGAAAAATTAGCTTCATTAATAGCGGACTTGCGATTATCATCACACTAATAGCTACCGCTGTATAACACTGTAGCTATGCATTATATGATATCACTCGGAACGATTATCATCCATAGTTCCCATCATAGAAGCAAGCAATCTGATCATCGAACATTACCAACAAATGTACTTTCTCCATAAAATTTCGAAAGTTAATACGGCGTGGGTGCTCGATTCTAGAGAAGAATGCAGATTAAAGTGACTGATAAAGAAGTGGACGTTGTAAAGCGTTCGTTGTTTTGAAGTGGTTATGTGTTGAGCAAAGAAAGCATGAAAATAGCACGTGTGTAACGAAGATGAATTCGATTTGAATGGCCCGCTGGCCGCGGTGAACGATGTACGGATGAAGTGAAACCATATGCAACACACATGAAATGATACGAATTCCTTATCAAATGCCCACTTTTCGCTTATTTAACGCCATCATTTCGTGTTCACTTCTGAATCTATTCTTTTCGTTCTATTATCATTCCTCCGTTTTATGTTTGTTTTAATCAACAGCAATTAATCTGTGATTTATATTGAAGAATTCGTAAGATTTGTGTTCGTTTTCTTCTCAGCATATTGACTTCAAAGTTTCACTCACAGTAGCAAAATAATCATGAAATGACGAACTGTTAATAATGTAATGCGTACACAACTGTGCACGCTAAATGCGCAAATTCGAAGCCGCAGCCATGTGGTTTCACGATCTGTTCCTCTCCTCGGGCTTAATCAATTGAAATACACTCAATATTGCCACCAAAAAAATAAGAAACTAGCCACAGAAGCCTCAAAAATTCTTGATCCTTAGATTATTCATACAGCCTTCGAAGTTGCGACGAGATCCTTAAGCAGTTGAATTTCATGAGAATTTTAACAAATTGGAAGCGACGCAGAAATTACGATCTTGAAGTCAGTTAAAAGTGAAAAATACTTGGGTGATCAGAATTGGTGATGGCTTTTCCAAACCTGTCAGAAATATATTCTTCTGTTTTCATGCTGCTCTTCTTAGATAATAAAAAAAAAAGTTGACCGAAATGGTGTGAAGCATCAAAAATATGGAGGATTAGAACAGCATAAAGCTGGAAAACTCCTTGGAAGAGAGCGGCTGGAACGATAAAGGAAACGAATTTGAAAATGAACGGATGTCACTAACGAGAAGACTACGATTGCACTTCATCGAAAAGCGATATTTTCGCTTCAGACAATTTGAATTGATGCGCATGCAAAACGGCATGAACTCAGCTTATGTTCAATCCTAATTGATAACTAGATATCTACTTACAATAATGTAAATGCATAATTACAGTAGTCCTTAAGTAATGTGCTCAGCCTGATATCATGTTTACTTACACCTTTGCGTGTCATCTAATGTGTATCAGTGATAATGATTGCTGAAAAAATGACAGTAATAAATGAACAAGTTTGTGCACTAGATATAAAAATACGCAATGAAACTGATGGCCGTAAGCATAACGTCAGCCATATTACAACACAAGTTTGTAAATCCTCTGATACAATCAGTTTTACACGAAAATGATTATAAACCGTTCTGTACTATTCAACAAAGCATTCGAATGTTAACTGACAAATTGCTCTAATGAATCTAAAAGCAGTGATTCATTTCCCGGAATCTATAAATATAAACGAATAAAAAAGATGTGGAATATGCTTTGAAAAAACTGATTTAAAGGAAAGATTCGATGAACTGTTTCTTTTCTTACGAATACTAATAATGTAACAAAAATTTTCTTTTTGTTTTGCAATATTATGCATAAAAATGTCCAAAATGTAACAATCGTGATTAACCACTGGAAAATACAATTGACAACGATGTTCGTAAGAAGATTGTTTTGCGATGAATCGAGAGGAGATGCAGTATTGAAGGAATACATACGCACGTGATTCGAATTATATTCCGTTAAATCATCGTTATTATTATTGCTCAGGTCGAGTGCAAACGCCGTTAGCTACCGACTGTATGTCATGTTAAGAAATGGTGAGTACTCGATTCATCACTTTTTTTAATAATCGGATGGTTTTCAAGACAACTTTTTGTTCAATCACGAAATTATTTCATTTGAATTATTCGAAAAATGAGTTGTAGAAACCACAGTAAAACGTTTAGAATGATAGAAATTATTGTTACCGCTTAAATCGTCCTTTGAATATTTAACTGACTATGGTAATCCATGTTCGCTATATTATCAAAGTGTGAAGTAATGTGCCTTACATATTCAAGTTGCGTTCATCACTGAACAGTTTAAAGACGGTAAAAATAATCTCCGATTGATTTCAAAAAAAGATAAAATTAGTTAGCAATGCAGTGAGGTGATTCGTTCAAAAGCCTTAAAGCTAAAATTTAATTAGTTTTAACGAATCGGATGAGATGATGCACTAAACTGCATTGCTGTTTCATTTTTTGTTGTTTTAGGAATTATTACTCAAATCGCATTATAAAATTGTTATAGGGGAGTGTACTGTTTATCAGCATTAGGCACTATCAAGTGTCATTCTTTAAAATGTTTTTATATTTTGATCACACAATGAACATATACGCACATATGACGACGAGTTGAGTGTCGTCTATTCGTTGCTCATTTCAACTTCAAACACTCCCAAATTTCGTACGATTCACAAATTTTGTGTCGTTGTGAATTCTACTTATATATTGTAGATTGTATTTCATAAATTCATTTGCTAACGCCCTAAATATTGGCCAATCGAAATGAAAAATGAACCAGATGCTTCATATGTTTCGTCCGATGAAGGTATATCATAACCACCTCTCCAGTTCATTTAAATCGGTTCCAAATTTCCCCTCAGCTCAGTTGGACAATTATTTGCGAGAGTCAAAAAACTTAAAATCAAATCGAATAATCAGTTATTTTTCCATCCACATGTTTTCAGTATGATTCACACTAATCGATTAGTAATAAATCATCATTTTCACCAGTATTTTTCCCTCATTTTTCGACTAAGAGTTCACTTTTAATGCTCACTTAAAATATGTGCATTGTATGTGAAACACTTCTGTCAGGTACGTATTCAGTTCTTTTGTCATCTTTTTGATGTCGATGGCAATGTGAGCCGATCGGATGAATCTAAGAATAATTATGCTACATCATAGTATGGTGTTGTGCGACAGTATAATAATTATACTGTCGCATAACACCATACTAAGGACTCTGTTCTCTAGAGGTATCATTATCTGATTTTTGAAGCAAACAGATATTAGAAAATGAATAAAAAATGTAAGTATTCGATATTTTTTAGACAGAAGTGAAGAAAATAGTACAGTTTCGAATGGCGTATTCAAGTCAGCAACAATAGTTCAACGGGCACAGAAGAAGGTTCTATCAAAAGTCGTATCTCGTGGTGTTATCAAACATTTCGTGAGTGATGCGGCCACCAGAATTTTTGATGGCCTTTATATGTTATTGAGTGCTTATTACAACAAGGTTACTGCTGAAAAGGTGCGTTTTTCGACCATTCTCTTGCTTATGAATGTTCCAATATCGATTCTTCTTGTCCCTCATTGCCGCCCAATGTTTTTTTCATTTCCTTAACGATGCTGTAATGATAAACATTTGAAATTCCTGAAATGAACGCTTTTTGTCGATAATTTATTTTCAGAGGGTCTAATGTGCCAGTATATCAGTGGTGTAACTAGGTACTTCATCTGTGCCATCCCTCAAAAACAAGCAAGTCTTTTACGGTAGTGACGCTCTGATTAAACCACCTCTTACACTAATGAATTTGACAGCGCTGTTGAGTGTCCTTCCTGCCGACGATCTGGTAATAAGTAACGATTCTGTCAAATCAGCAGAGTCGCTCAACACTACCACCCTCTCTACCTTCTCCTCATGAATGCGAAAGCATTAGTTACGAATCAGCACAACGCCAAAAAGTTCCGATTAGCCGTTTCCTTCCCCCAGTGCAAAGTACTGTCCTCTGCCTCTTTTTTTCTAACCACGTCACTGCTAAGAAATTCACTGAGTATTAATAAGGCAGGTAATAGTAATCTTTATGGTGAAAGATATTGTTTGTCGGTAACGCCAAGCTCATCACGCAACATTTATAACAACTGTGGTAACCTCATTATTGTGTTAATGATGACATTATTGTTTTATAATACATTTTAGGTTGTGAAAAATATAATCAAATTGGTCGTAAAATTGGGTGTTGTAGTTCGCGGTGGAAATTTTGGTATAGAAGAAGAGAATGAATTGAATAGTGTACAGAAACAAATGCATCAATTATGCTTAACATTAATATCGTTTGGTAAAGTAGCCTATTCATATGATCGTAATTATCTCGTATCGATGCTTAATGAAACACACATGAAAATCAATCGATTAGTGGTCAAATCTTTATTAAGTGATAAATCAAGAAAACGTCTTGACATGGTTTTTGAACATATTTCAAAGGTTCATTCATTAGTTTTACTTTTTATTTACTTCGTTCATTGAGATCATCGAATTTATTTCAGTGCTGAATTATGGAGAAAGTTCTCATCGCTGTTAAGAATATCCAAAAATGGGAATTCCCTTTCTTACTTTTTGTTTCTCGATTATTTCTTGCCGAAGAGAATCATCTAGAACTGTTCCTAATCAAAATCATGCTTTTTGGGTATCTTTCTTGCCGTAGAAGAATGCCTGTTTTCGGTGCATATTCCCTTTTTACTGTTGTATAGCCTTGCATGTACGACTAGCCTGTACTCCGAGTAAGCGTTTGCTTTAAAAGTTAAAAATGGAGAATGTCGACTGAAATCAAATTTGTTCGGCTGAAATCTGAACAGCAACCCTCCTCTTAACTAGAGGCTGAGGCCTGCTCTAGGTTTGGGCTGAGACTAACCTCGAGACATGTATGATCTGTTCTACTATCGGTTTGAGAAGGCTTGGAAAAATAGAGTTTTTATCACCACCTCATCACTGAAGAGGGAAAAGAATCATCTGGAAAAGTCTGACCCAGAGGAAAACAGCTATCGTTTGTGTAGGCGGATATGCAGTACAAGTGATTGTTTTAGCACTAACAAATTGCATGAACTTGTAGTGCTGTCTTAAAATAAGATAATTGAAGGAGAATTTACTGGATCGATTGTTCCGTGTTGATGGTGAATACACGACATTGTTGGCAAGTTTGGTGAATGATTTGGAAACATTAATCGACAGTAAAGATCTCTAGTCACCAATCATTGTTATGTTCTAATCATTATTGTTTGTCACTATGATTTATGCACACCTCACAGCATTTGATTACATATGGAAATTTCGTGTTATATTATACAGTTGCGACTGGTTCTGCAATGATAACATTATTTATGGCTATTGTTTTATAGCGCAGTCTGTTATTGTCATTGATATTATGACCACCATCAATATTTGGTTTTACTATATGAATGATTATCATAGTTTATCGTAAGTGACGGCAAATTTGACATCATCAAGTTTATGTTTAAGAATGTATCGTTCGTTATTGGTGGTTTGAAAGGAAGATAATGTGCCTGATTATATATTCAATTTCACTTATTGTTATCAGTTTAAATGTGTATAAAGTTGCACCTGTGGATATTTTTTCTCATTCAGTGGATTTTATTAATATCGCATTTATACCTATAGCACCATTCCAACAAAGCCATCACTTCGTGATTGATTTTGAAGTGTCGAGTAGCAGGTGTAGCTGATGGACAAGCAATCCGCTTACCATCTATTTCAACTTGATGTTTGACCCGAGCAAACGACAGCAGAAAATCGATTGATCGATTAGTGAAGAGAAGATGAAACATGAAACTTAGCAATAAGGTCAAAAGGTGCATGCTAATATCCAGCATATGAGAAAAGAAAATAGAAGTGAAATAGAGGGCTGAAACTAAGTGTATCTCGTTGCGTAACATTACAGCAGCTGATGTAGAATGACCTTATCGAGCGAACATTTCTTAAATCAAATGCTTCAATTTAGCTGTTAATGAACAAAGTAAACGGTATTTAAAATATTTCAAATAAATACAAAGTAAATATTAAAATATAATAAATTCAATGACTGTTTTGTCGTGTTTATCATGACAAAATTTTTCAAAGCGTGACAGTTTGTTGCTGATAGCAATGCACATGTCCACCTGTGCACTTTGTCTTGATCGAGAAAAGGATATTAAATTCTAGTATATCGACGCGAATGAGATGAGCACATTCATTGCTTGAAAATATTTCCATTGCCGAACACCCTCTGGAATACTACCTCGCACCCCTAATTGAAAGACCCTAGTGTACAGTGTAATGCTATTACTTTCCGGATTTGTGCACACATACACGCAACATAGTGAATACCATTCCCTTGTTGCTGTCAAGACGAAACACGAAATCGTCCCCTGATAGGTTATTCTGCCCTGATAAAAAGTCAGAATCCAACCATCGGAATTCCAACCGAAATTGTCAAAATTTTCCGAGCGATTGTTGGTCGGGTGCTATCACTACCGTGAACTTACTGTGGGGACCAATTTAGCTTGTGAACGTTCCGTGGCGAAAGGTTCTTAGTTTGCTCTAGCTACATTGCACATTCAACTGCGAATGCATACGAATGAAATACCGTTTTGATCTTACCAACCCAAACTACTGAACTACAAAATCTATGACTAGATTTAGGCTCATGTTTAGACCTAAATAATGCATGAGCGGGTTTCACGGGTTACATGTGGCACCTAACCACATTATTTAAGGAGACATAAGTCCTATCCATAAACCTAATTAAATTGTGATTACGATTGCGTGGTGATGTGGGCGTAGCCTTTAGACGTATTTCAGAAGGTTGGTCTCAACATTTCTCTACGTAACTGGTGCAGACATATTTCCCCGCTTTGCTAATCTGAGTTCTGTTATTCTTAGAGGTATGCAGGAATGTTGCTAGCTCATCTGCGTTAAAGGCTTATGTTAGGGTTGCTTTAAAATGCAATCGTTGCATTCGCCTCAGTTTTAACCTCCTTCAATCACGAGTAAGCTTGAATATAAGCCTGTTTCGAGCGAATAGGGCTTCCTTATCTTCAGTTCATGGCGCATTCACGGGTTGCTCAAGCAGAGGTTCAAGAGATCATGCATTGCTCATAACCACCAGAGGTCAGTAGAGCCTCAACATTTATGCTCGCTGACCACATTTGCATCATCTTGCTTGCATTTCAGTCGAGACCTCGCTTTAGACTTGAGCTTATGACTAGTGCGGATCGACCTTTACAAATTACTGATGCGCTATCGGCAAATTTTCAAGTCGTTTGTCCGTCTCAAGCTACGCATCAGCAGATGTGTACAGTGGTTGTAGACATTAGTTAATTTCAAAACGCGACAATTTTCCATATTCTGTTGAATGTTCCCCGTTCATCGTTAAAATTAGTGGTCATAGTTAGACGCGGATTTTTAGGTTGTATTTTTTTTTTCAGGGAAGCTTGTTCATTCTCAATCCAATCCAACAATGCCGGTTGATATTGAAACTCTGAAGCCTGGAGATGGCACGTTTATTGCTGTTCCTTGTTACAAGTTTTTATTTCAGCTACTAAAAACGTAATAATTATTTACTCGAAAGAGCAATTTATATCGTTACATTCAAGCCAACAGTGGTAAACCAAATGATATTCTGTTGTGAAAATATGATCATACTATGCGTTCCACTTCCCAAGCACCTGAAAGTATATGCTTGTGGTGTTGGAAGTCATCTACTTACCACACCACGAATTCAAGCTATAAGAAATCTGAGAAAGAAAACTAACTCTTAATTGCTTTTACAACTTGAGTGGTGCTAAAATTCCGACCTTATTCACTTCATATTCACCTTATTCACATCAAAGAAGTGATTTTCAAATTGTTTTGCAGGCAAGACTTTCCCGAAGAACGGACAAACGGTAAAATGCCATTACGTTTTAAGTCTTCAAAATGGCTCCGAGGTTCGTTATCGGTTGTAATTATTTTCAATATTTAAGCAAAAATTCATGTGCTGTACTTCAATGTTACGTTCGTTTCAAAGCGTTTTTTGCTGTCAAATGTCGAGATTTACAGATCGATAGTTCAAGAAAACGTGGCAAGCCTTTCGAATTCAAGATCGGTAAAGGTGAGGTCATCAAAGGGTGGGATGAAGGTGTTGCCAAGGTCCGTTGTTCTACTTTTCGTTTCTGCAGTTCATTTCGCGTGAATCATTTCACATCAATAAAATGATCTTTTTATGATTGTTATCGTTCAAATATCGATTGACATTGATTTTAGATGTCAGTGGGACAACGCGCAAAACTGACGATCAGTCCAGATATGGGTTATGGAAGTCGTGGTATACCTGGTACAATTCCTAGTAACGCTACGCTGCTGTTTGATGTTGAATTGCTTGGATTGAAATGAATGTAGTTGAAATGATATTGATTCTGTAACTGAGTGTCATCTATTTCTAAGTGTGTCTTTAGCTGATGGCTTGAAAAATTATCTTCGATTCTTGTTCAGAATTACTTCGATGAAACAGGAAAAGTAAATCTCTAAAGTTATTCAGTGTTTTTATTATTTACATTTTCATTATTGGCATGGTTATCACGTTTGTAATCTCCTTGTTCCAGTTTCGTCAATGTAATCATTAAAATATTTAAGTCTGTTAGATCCGTTTAATCATTGCTTACAATTAGTATCATGTTCGCAGTTTTCAGTGTAATGAATAGCTTAAGTAGTTTTCTGGAGTTACTAAATTGGTGTCTTTTGTTCAAATGTTGACAAACGGCATTATCGATATGATCTGCGTGCTGGATTTCAGTGATAAGGATTTATGAATCGTCCACTACATTTTCTCATTAGAGCTCCATGCAATTATGCTACTTCATACTTCGTAGCAAATTTTTTTGTTTGCATTCATTTTGAGCGAATACATTCGCTACATTCCCAACCTATTTTCACAACGATTTGATACAACTTCTTCAGTTTGATTATTTGAACGCAAATAATCATCATTTTAGCGTTCACATGCGGATATTTCGTTTACTTTTTGAACTATTTTGTAATTTACATTGAAACTTTTTATCAACAGTTCTACAGTATGACCATTTAAAGGCAAAAAAGTACATATATCTCCTTTCGTAATTTCTTCCTCAATCCTTATTTTCCTGTGTTATCGTCACATCAGATTCAATTCATCCACTCATTGACAGAACGTTTGTGCATCGTTGTTTGTTGTTTCTATTTCAGTTACGTTTTACACTTTTCTCATAACTCAGTTTTGATATCTGTTCAAATAAATTTCTCAGCAAATCGTTCTCTTGATAATTTACAAGTGGTTTTATATGCCTCCCAATTTCTTACTTACCAGAACGGGTATTTGATGGCAGTCCTCCAACTCATAAGCTCCGAGAATTTGTGAAAAATAGTTTCACATGTTCATCACTATCAAACATCGTCTTTTGGATGTTAAGTATTGTTTCCATACATCTCAAAATTTTATGCGCATTTGTTCATACTTCACTGAATTTCTTTTGTTTAGCAACTAAGTAATAAAAATTATGATATGCTTAAAATTAATGATGATTTATCAAGCTTGAGTAGCTGTCCCATCGAGGTTCCAGCATCCCACTGAACACTTAGTATGATGCAAAACCACTGTGAAACTCACACAGTCACCAGTGAATTAAGCATTAATTGTTTGTACTATTAAGCATTGGGCCGGCTAATACGAATCCCTTCATTTTGCACGTTAAAAGAGTTCTTCGATTTACGACGAGTTCGGGTCACTACTAAAATTTTACTCGGAACTGTGATTGCGAACCAAGACTGCACAGTGATTGCATATCATACTTAGTTCCGGCAGGGAGAAAGCGAGTAACATGTATAAAATGCAGAGTTATACTCCAAGTACGTCCGTGTGCCTGCTCTAAAGGGTCGAATAGGTAAGTGAATAACGTGCAGCCATGCAACGGATATTTCCGAAGAATATCGGTCTCTTCTTACATAGCTTCAAGCAACAATCCGTTTGGAATGTTCAACAGTGCTCAGGTGATTATGAACGTTCTTTCAGTTTTAAAGAATATCAGTCGTTTATCGTTGTTTCTTTAATGTTTCATCTTGATTACCGTCGACAAACACTTTATGCAAACACTCAATTCGAGGAATGCAGAAGCACAATTAAACAGATTGGTTGTAGTTCGATCTATGTTCATTCAAGTGCAAGAGACACCAAATCCTCTAACTTTGAAATTTTTACCCGGTCAAACGATAATGGGTGAAGGTAAAGCAACAATGGATTTTACAACTGTATCTGCTGCTAAACGAAGTCCACTTGCATTGTAAGCGATAATGTTGAATCTTTTTGCAGTGATAGCACATATAGCATCATCTGTTACCCTTCGCATTCCCAAGTAGAGTGTAAATCTCGGCATTCTATCATTTTAGACTGATGCGATAAGACAGTTGTCCTCTGATCTTTATAAAATATGCGTATTTAAAAGGCACTGATAACTGCAAAGTCGTGATGTGAGCATTTTCTCACTGACCTTTGTTTTTACTTTGAAAAAACTTTATTAAATCTGAACTTTTCCCGTCCGTTCATTTCAGACAACTATTTCGAGTGGATGGTGTTAAGAGTATTTTCTTCGGCGAAGATTTCGTGACAGTAACAAAAAGGAATGAAGACATCGATTGGGCAGTAATGAAGCCGGAAATATTCGCAACGATAATGGATTTCTTACAGACCGGTAAAGCGATCGTCAATGAGGGTGAAATGCCCGATGGACCCGAAGATACAAGTGAGGATATGTTGACGTCGTTTGTAAAAAGAGAGTTCAGCATTACTACAATTTATGTTTTGTTATGGGTTTGTGTGATATTCTGCTCGTATGTGAAGCATTTTGATACATTCATGCTTTTTATTCATGAAAGAAACGTGTCAGGAAGTTTATTCAAAACGATTACAGTGATACATCCAGACGATGACGATACAGTCGCAATGATAAAAGAATTACTAGAATCACGAGTGAAGCCAATGGTGCAAGAGGACGGCGGAGATATTGTTTATAAAGGATTCAAAGATGGAATTGTACACCTCAAAATGAAGGTATAACCTTGCCTTTGGTGAAAATAAATACATTCAAACATGACTGCGCCTCAGATGATAATAAACCTTTGCAAAATGTTCCTTTTTGCAGGGATCTTGCACAGGTTGTCCGAGTTCGTCGGTGACACTCAAATCGGGAATCAAAAATATGCTTCAGTTTTATGTCCCTGAGGTGGAAGATGTAGTGGAAGTAAAAGACGATGAAGATAAAATAGTAGAAGATGCCCTCAACAAGCTGGAAAAAAACTTAAGTGGAATATCGGACTAATAACATTGTATTTGATTGACATTGATAAGCCATATATACTTATTGCAGTGGCGGGATGTATGCACAGTAAAAGAATAATAAATCCGAACTTTTTGTGTGGGGAATATGTCAACAGAGAATTGGTTATATTTTGCTTGAAAATTACTGCTTTGCAAATGTTATGTGAACTTATTACTGTACAAAGTGTTTTGATATATCATTTTCAAGTTTGATGCTAAAGGTCGTAGTGATGTTGTTTGCATTTGTTATGTTCATAAACTTCACTCATTTATCACCTGAAGTGAAGCTCTAAATCAATTGATTATTTTGCACGGTGTGAGTAAATAGTGATTCGCTGCATGGGATCGTTCACATACATGACGTCAAAATATTGTTGAGTGAATTGGCCACTCATTTTGATTTGTTGTAGTGCTCGTTTACAGTGTGGCCAACTTGCAAGTGGGTAACTCATTTGCTTTTGTGTTTGCGACGAGTCATGTTTCGAATGTTTAGGAGTGCTCTTCTCCTGACAATGCCGCTTATGATGAACTGACTTCGAGTTCGCGAATTTTATTTCAAAATAATTTCCACTCTCTAGTATCAAATGTTCTCACATAATGTGCAGTTAATGAAAGCTATTTTTGTGAAGTGTTAATGCAGAAAGCTCATCACGGTGCACAAAACCACAGTTGCTTAAAGAGTACATTGAATCATAACAAGTACATCTGGTGGACTAAAAGTACAAAGTTATGATAGCGATGGGTTACCTTGATAGACTAAATGAAACGATTCAGGTGCATTAGTAGTGCCTTTATTAAGTCTATAGCAGTTGCATGTGCTGACAATGAGTGGCATCACTCAACATATGTGGAGAACAGTAACACTTCTCTCAATGACCAAGATGTCAAGTTCGGAGGTGGAAGCCAATTGGGTGGAGGATGAGGTGGAGTTTTTAGCTGCACTGAGAATAAAGATCAGTTGAGGTGAACATCACAAAGGGTTGAGGGCATTCAACTCTAAACTGGGTACTTTCTGCTGCATTCAACTGAAACTTGTTTGTCCACTTTAAAACTTCTTAAACCTCCCAAAAGTGCTTTGGTTTTCTTCAAATAAGAATGTTTATCTGGTAGGGTTTTAATCTTGTTTCTCTGACCTAGAATCGGCGGGTACTATGTGAATATGACTCTCGTTTTTGCCCAAGATTTCCTACTTTGAGAGCGCTCAAATTTTTTGTAATAGACATTTTTCAGAACAAAATAGAATATTTGATGATAGAGAATTTCACTTCCTACAAAAGGGCATTATCACTCTAGTCATTCAGCAACTCAAAAAATGTCCCTTTCCGATGAACCATGCACATAAATTCAGATGATTCAAGCCGCAGCAGACATATGCTGACCAACGATTGCACATGCTCTTCGACGACTCCGCCCCTGCATTCAGACTCGTTCATGTGGTGAATCGTGACGCGGCCATGCCCATGTGCACTTGTCGATTTTATAGTGTAGTAAAGAAACTGGAATTGATGTAAAATTTGCAGAAGTAATGGTGGGTAAAACAGCTGCTCGTAGCCGTCATCATGGTAATCGTACGACTCCTCAGAGCGTCTCGGTAGCTACAGCTACTGCTCAGTCATCCAGAATCGATGAAAGGCGAAGGTTGATTTTTGTGTTTCAACAAGATTGATGTGATTGCAGTCTATTGTTTTGTAATAGGTGCAACATCTCAGTTGTGCACTGAATCGATGAAGCAAATGTTGGGCAAACATATCATTTGAAAATGCTTCTCGCGTCCTTCTACCCGCTAAAATTAAGTTAGCTGTGATCTCTTACTGATGCTCACCGAAAGATATGAAATATATTTATTGACGTCTTTTCCTTTTTCACCAAATTTTAGACTACAGTCGCAGTCGTTCAGTTGTAATCAGTTTTTGCAGAAGTGAGGAATGTGCAGGATTAACAGTGCAGATCCATCCTATATGGCCAGAGATGCCTCAGGGGCAAGGAGAGCTGTTTTTCGAATGTACACTCTTTCTGTATTCAGTGCTTGCCTTGTTTTTACAATATTTAAATCTTTATAAAACACTTTGGTGGCTTCCGAAATCTTATTGGCACTATTCGATGGTTTGTTTCTATTCATAAATCTAATCATTATCTCGTTCATCATTGATCAATTCTCCAGTTTGAGCAGATGAATATATCAGCATTCGTTGTAGATGATTACCGTTTCATTTGTCTTTTATTACACTAAAGTATTCAGAGAATTCTTTTTTTTCTGCTCAAACACGATAAAGCGATAAATTTTGAAAATGTTTTCAGAAGTTCCATCTTATCAATCCATATTTACTGTCTTGTGTAGGATTGCTCCTTGGATTACGGGTTACCAAGTGCTTTTGGAATACGGTAATTCATCTTTTGTTCTTTTACTGCTTTTTGTTAATTGTGCGGTGTTCAACCAATGGATCGGGAAGTGTAGTGCGCTTTACCAGATTTTTGCTTTCGTTAGTCAGAAGTGAATAAATAAAACGAAAAGAATAGTGTTCTGTTGAACTGCAGACGAGTCATTGATTGTAGATAACTGAGTTAGCATCAAGTGCTTCACAAGGTGCATCTGGAACACAGCTGCTTATTTGGCGTATTGTCGAATGGGCATTCGTGAAAACACCAATGTTCACGATGGTTGCCACTTCATTCATGTTCAGCTTTTCGAGGGTTTATACTGATTTTCCTTTCAAATCATTACTATACTTCGGACATCCGTATGTCATTTGATTTAAAATTATTGCTAAAAATTTTCTTAACATTTAAGTAATCACAAAATGTACAATGCGAATGTTTTCTTAAATCGCACCAGTGATTCAAAATTGCGACTTTGCATTTGTGACGAGCATTTTATATCTGAAGAAATCAGCAAATTTATTGATGTAACAAAAATCTCTCCAATTAAGAAGGCTTACTGCTTCATTGAAAGTCCTTCATCGCCTCATCATACAGTAATATTCAGTGTGTTCTTTAATAACAAAGTTTTTGCGATTAATATAAATTGAATGCGAGAATGAACACGTTTCAGGTTAATATTATTCATATTCCTTTATTATTCTGAGTTATTACACAAATTACATCGTTTATTATCGGCAGTACATTTTGTAGTGAAAGGTGGTGATTTGAATAATATTACAAATGCACCTCTTATATTTCCGAAATTACCGACACCCCAAACATTGGTTGATGTCGATAGTGTGGTACATATGTGTAGTACTAATCCAGGTTGGTTCTTTATTGTCTTCGGAATATTTTGATTACTCGAACAAATCATCATCCGTCTTGATTCTAGCTCAAATACGAGAAGAAGTGGCTGTGCTGACTCGTGATTTCAATCTTCGAATGAAGCATTGTCTCTTTTCTGGTCTCTCAACGGCCTATCTCTCAATTTTCGTTCCCTGCGTATTCACACCGGTTAGCATAATATTGCAGCATTTCCACACAGTTTGCAATTAATGTTCATTTTCGAAAAAGAAGTTAATGCAACATTTTCCGAATATTTAAATTGAGATTGTAGATGGATATGACTGAAATAAATATTTTTGGGTGAAATACTCATCAATCCAAATGACGTTCTATTTATAGTTTACGAAGAAGTATATTATTGTGTATTCGTAAGTGAAATTTCAGCAAAGATCTCCATCAGGAATGCCACAGCAAATGCACGTTGATGTAGCGTGGGTTGTCGAGTTGTTTTTAGTTGTTTTCCTAACATCATTTGCACTCTACATCACTTATTTATTGCCGATTCAATACTGTGATTTACTGCATCGAAGTGCTACGCATTTGGGTCGATGGGAGAAAATTGATTATTCACGTATTACATCCACTTCGAATCAACTTCAGTTGAACACTGGCGCACCGAATACTACTTTTCAAAAGTTGGTCTTTGAATCTGTGGTCTTTTAAATTTTTTGTTTCTTTGTTATTTATCATAACGCTCTCGATTGATTTTGACCACTAGCTCTGGTTAAACTTTAAGCAGCTTTTAATTCTTCGTCGTTACCAATTATTTAAAAGATGGGTAAATTACTCGAAACGAAAGCATTCATAACAATCAAAGCATTGATTCTAATGGAATTTCTTTTTCAAAATTTGAGCTAAGTATCGTTGTGCGAGTTTCATCAATTATGATTGCAGTTGGGATGCAGATAGTTTGTACACAGATGGAACGATTGTGCGTCATGAGGAGCAAACATATAAAGCTCATGCCAGTTCAGCAACATTAGGCGTAGCAGCTGAGCCGGGGGATCCTGAACATCTGCGATTCTACGTTCGTTATCATCAACCATGCTTTACAGCTTTCATTTTTTGTTCTTCCACCAACTTAAATTTATCATCTTTGTAAATTATTTCATTCTTATTGCACAAAATTTATCATCGATTTGAATGCAAACATCCTCTGTTATCATTGAACTGAAACACTGAAAGAGACTGCAGAAGTTGTTTACGAAATTTTCAGTTTGCTTGAAATATGGCGGAATTTTTCGTTAGTTTATAAGTTGGCGAGTGATTGCGAAGTAACATTCACCAATCACGTTCAGTGATTCATTAAAACGAAATTGCATGCAAAGTGGTCTAGGTGGCAGTAACTAATTGCAAACTGCTGAAAAATAATTTTTCAGCGAGTTGGCGCTGAGCCGGTGACCTTAATCAACGTGATGTGCTTATTTGAAGTGGCTCTTATAGCGGCACAATTCTGGATGCTCATCTTGACCACCGATTGGCAGCACATCGTTACACTCGTTTTGTTGATGTTCGCCAACTACCTTCTCCTCGCTAAAGTTCGTTCTGTTATTTTGCCTTCAAAAAATCGCACTTTTCTTGTTCACGAACAGCATCACCTAAAGGTATTCTCACAACGCTTTATATCACCGTTCCTCATCTCCACACGAATCTAAATCGGTGCTTCTCACTCTCCATCTCATAATCAAGCGAACATCTGTGCAAAAATTACGGAAGAAAAAAAGAAATCAGCAATGATTTGCAAACTTCCTCAGTGCTGCTCCCTTGACACCCGCAAATAACTTCACAGGGCAATTCCCCTGTAGTGAAAAAAATTGTTAGGTAGTGAATAAGAAGTCGATCGATTTCTTACTTGCTCGCAGTCGATCACAGTCTTAGTAACAAACCAGTTTATTTTCTCAAGTAGCGCTCAGTAATTGCAGGTATTCAAAGATCGTGTTGTAATTGGTAGAATTTATAACCCGTCACCGGAAGATTTACAGTTGATTAAACAAATGCAGCAAGGAGCTTGAAACGAAAACAGTACAGGTCGAAAGCATATTAGCCAATATTAATCGTGATCTATTTGCTATCGTTGTGTTTACCAGTGATTGTATTTGTCAGTATAAAGTTGATTATCAAATACAGAATTGTTTCACTTAAATGTTGAATGTTTTCGCTCATCTCAGTTCGATAACTTTCCATTTTACGTTTATTTATGTGCAATTATTGTCCACATCAACGATGAAATTCTTCACACTTTTTTCGGTCTTAATTCCTAATTAATCGCTTCAAATTGATAAATGAAGGATCGCCGTTATGCAGCTTCGAATGGGTCATATTGAAATCATTGTGAATTTGTTCTGCTCATATGCAATTTCTTCTGAACTGTTTTTTGTTTACACATAAATTTCAAGTGAGCATAATTAATTCCTTTGCAAAATATCGATTGTATTCTTCTCACAATAAATTTTCATAGATTCAGCCTTTTGCACTGTTAGTGTGTCATCTCGGTGCTGGTCTAAAATTGTGAACAAGTTACCTGAAATGAAGTGGACGTATGAAAATTGCACGGCATGTGAATAGTGCTACAGTTATCAGAGCAAAGTTATTGCTGCTTTAAGTTGGCGAGTGAGCAATATATTACAGACGCTTGCGTTTGTTCGAGTGTAGATCTGCGAAGAATTGTATATTCATTGGAAGTTCAGCATATTCATCTCTTATTGATTGGCATTACCGAACAGGATGTGCGTATTAACTGGCGAAACACGTTCGGTTTTTGTCAGTGATCATGATGGTGACTGAGGAGACGAGAAGCTGTTGAAGAGCGATCATTGAGAGAGTGGCTGTGTGATGTGCTCGATCATTTCAGAAGAATGGATTGGGCTAAGTGGGATGTGAATGCTTTATTCGAATTATCCGCGAAGCCAGTTAGACTGAAAGTAGGCAAGGATCGCTTTATGTGCGGCAATGTGTTCACGGTCGATCCAATCAATAAGTCATTCATAATAGTCCAGTTTCATCAACAACAAGGTCGTATTCGCTTTATTTTATTTCGCCCTCGTTCTTTCGTCGTCATTTTCATCAACGTGCTAAAAAACAACAATAGACCTTTCAAGCGAAAGTTGACAAGATTTGTATTTTTCACTGGAATTTTTCCCGTATTCAAAAAAAAGAAAATAGTATGCCGTGAAAGGATGACACTGAAAAATTATTAGTTTTTGTATTTTTTTTTCGGGAATGATCATTATTTGTGCAATTGAATGGTGTGTGTTTTAGATGCGTTTAGAATATGTGTGATTCCGAGCGGGGCGATAGAAGGTATAGAAATGTGTGAAAGCGATGAGAATGACGGTTGTAAGAAGTATACAGCAGAGTTATATGAATGGATGCGTAATTTGATGGGTAATATACAAAAGCATTCATCAGTTGATCGTCATTCGGTACAACGGTTAGTGCTTCACTTTAACATCGACAATTTTTCTTCCAGTTTCGCGGTTATTAATAACATTTTTCTTGTTTTGCTCATTCCACTGTGATTGAGATCAGTTTGCTAAGTCAATGAACGGATTGATTGGCTATTTGCTTTAATCAATTGCTGTTTGTTCTATCTTTTTGTATGCATATTTTAGGTGTTCAATTTGTTCTGAAAGAAATCTGAAATAAGGAAAAATTCAAAAACAGATGAATTCATAGAATGATTATAAAGCACTGAAAAATAGCCATGAGACGTTATTCTCTGATTCATGCAGACACATTTGTGCGTGTGCGAAGTGTAGTTGTGGTGAACGTTGATAAACGGTAATGTTGTCGTTGTTTAGAAGGGATGCGTTGATTAGATGGCTGACAAATAATGGAGTGAAAGACGTGAAACTGGATGAAGAGGGAACAGTTCGAGTCTTTGATGATGTTTCGATTCGGTTGCCCTATAAACCAGATGATTGTTTCAGTGATAATTGTCGTGTTCTTATCGCAGTGCAGTCACTTATCAAACGTTTCGACAATGAAAATCAACAGTTTCAGTTGTAGTTGCAGATATTCATTGTTTTTGAGTCGCACGTTACACATCCCCACTTTATCAGTGTGTATATGTTCCGCATAAATACTTTTTCCAAAACGAAGCTGTTCATTTGGTTTGGTCAACTTGTGTCGGATAGTTTCAATTTCTGGGACTGAAAACAAAGAATTAATTCCCGAAACGCCGACCGTATCTCGCTTGAACCGTTCTCATCATTGAATCATCAACAAATCCAAGCGAAAAGCAAACGTCAGTTATGGTGTTTCCTATGAGAACTGTAGATATATGGAAGCCTTAGGATGAGTCTGCCACAGTTTGGTTTCGGCTCATTTCCCATGAAAACATCGGACAAATCTAATTTGTATGCAACAATTGCAAATTTGTGATGTGATAAGGATGAATGATCTCTTGTTGTTCTATATCCATCTCGATCGGAAGTTGTGTTTCATTGTCAATTCAATGACGACGTCAACTGCATTAATATTAACAGTTGTATGAATGAATAAATCAGTGTTCAAGGAGTTGTTGTGATAGTGTCAACAGCGGTCGATTCCACTTCAACCATTCATATTCAACCGTGATGAAAATTGCCTCATAATTGGCAATGCCATGATTTTTAGCACTACACTGATTTTCTTGTATTCCGAAACTAAACGCACATATCTTCACCTAGTCGCTCATCTATATCACCTACGAACGTATAAATAGCAATTCCTTATGATTTTTCTAACGATAAGTACGACATTATTTTAGTAACAATCCGAAAAGCAATTATGCAAAGGGAATGTTCGAATAACATGTTGCAAAAAGAAGAGGGTGGACAGTTCAAAAAACGTCGATGGAAACCCTCAAAAGAATTCCATCTGTCCGAGTTCGTCGCTTCTAGTGAGCAGTCATCAGTAATTAGGCAAACAACTAGTAATGTGCAGCCCTCATCGTCATCCACGAAACAAGCAGTTGTGAAGAAGAAGAACAAGAAAAAATTGTCGGCTATCAAAAAGGTTTTCGAAGTATTCAGAAATCATTTTCAGTGAAGTTGAGAAGCTGAGCCTTCTCCATTGTTTTCTCGAATGAACGAAATAGTCTATATAATTTCGTTCACCTGTTAAATTTGAAGATGAGACGTTTGCACTCAGAAAATGTCAATAATCAGCATTTGTTCAGGGAATAATAGCGGATAAGAAGGAAAGAATGAATGAAGATGTGGTTATCAACAATTTAGAGGTTGATAAAGAAGTATGTTACAGAAATAGTCTCTCTTCATATTCATCACAACTGGAAATAAGCATCACTAATTTGGTCACCAAACTTAAGGCATTTCAGCATCGAGCATTCATCAACAATCCAGTTAAGGTTTGTTTTGTTACGCATCAATACATCACTTCGACTATGCATCCAACCACGGTCCAGTTGTCTTTTCTGCCATGTTTTCTGCTTGATTATCATCTGTTTGTTTCTTGTTCATTTTCACTGTATTGCAACTGAAACGCTCGTTGGTTTACGTATTTTATCCAAAAATGAACTATGGCTTACTGCATTACGGACAGTTTATGATATGATGTGTGTAGGCAAAATCGAGACGACGTTTCGTTTGTGGATTGCGAGAAGTGCAGAAACAGTTAATCTTAGAGAATGTTCGATGTGTGATTATTGCAGATGATCTCGAATACGTGTCTGAGAATGGTTTGTTAATAATTGATTTGTTAATTTTTTTGCAAATTGATGATGACGAGATTGATTAATTAATCATGGTTTTTGTGAGGTGTTGTAATGATGACAGTACGATGTGCTTTTACGATCATAATTCAATTCTGCCAAAATGGTACTGATCGAGAGAGTTTATTATAAAGAATAATTCTTGTTTTCAGATTGTTTAGGCACGCAGGTGGCTCACATTCAGAACTTGTGCAAGCAAAATTCAATACCAACCTTGCAATTCAGAAACAAACATAAACTAGGTAAGGTACTCAAAATGACACCATTCATATCAGTCATTGCAATATTGGACTATACTGGTGCAGAGGTACGTATACGTCTCTTTCTCAAAGAAGATTTTTATTTACGGATTTCTGGTGACGAACGGTGGATTTGCGATTTCTCAGAACATTGCTCATTCTGTAAGCCGTTTTAGAAGATATCAAAATGCGGTAAACTATTAAAAAACCTAAAGTAAACACGAATCAAAAGTTTAGTTGGAATCCGATCGAGTTTCGTTCGGTTTTCAGTAAACTAGCTCCAGTCATTACCGTCACAGTTGCTTGTCTGACTGTTAATTAATCGCATTTTCATACCAATCAACTCACTCATCAAGAATGCCGTATTCATACTGTTTATGGAGGCATTATATTTTTCTCAATCTCACAAACGTACATGATGAATTCATATTTTGAATACCATTATTATCATAAATAAACTTGAGGATTTGTACGAGACTGTATTCGACAATCAGAGGCTATTCATACGAATGCGTGCAATTCTTCACCATCAAGACCAATGCTCATTATTTGCCTAGACTTCGTTGTTCCCATTTTAATAACGCTCAGTTTGATGTTCTATTAATGGAAGCTTGTTTTCTGCAATAGACCGTATCAAATCATTCACGAGGAATACAACTTCCGTTTGTAAATGTATGTACCTACACAGTAATAGAGCGTTTATATAATAGTTAAGAATATATTAATGTGTTTAATTAATTGTAATCAACTTTTCTCATATTGTTTTGTGATTAAAAACCAGTCGTCACTCATTTTTTCGATGTTGTGTAATTGATTTTTCAGAAGTTTCTATTCGTCATCGGCAAGAAATATTACAGTTTACTATTAACCTTTTATTAATTTCTATCAATACAATTTACTATTAACCTCACTTTCCTCCCCATAATTACTTCCGCACGAAAACAAGCATAAAGTGATATGTGATCCTCAATATTCCTGAATCGAATTACTGCTAATTACTTACTTACTGTACAGTGCCAATCAGGCGACTTCACTAATGCGCTTCTTCTCCATCGTGGTATTTGCATATATTTCGCCATTTACTAATGTGTTGTGGGCATCGGAAATTTTCCAGACCTCCGTCTCAAACTTTTTTCGATCCGACTGCATTCCCAGAGCCCTCGACTGCAATATTTTGTTCCAGACTTTTCCAAATTTGTCGGGGATTCCCGTTCCCCGAAAAATTTCGGAAAATTCCTCGATTTTCCCCGAGAATTGATAACATCGGATTGAAGCGTCACAAACGAAGCGGCTTCATTGCGAGTAATCGTTCTGATGGTAGCGGGTAATTTGGAGGTGTTGCGTTGATTCGGTCCATAAATGTGATAATTCTTCAAATATGTTAATTTTTGTGTTTCTTAATTTTTTCAATTTTTTAATTTTCGAAGACCATATTTTTCACGTTTTTTATTGTTGCGATCCTCTCGTGTTCAGTGGCGTGCGTTGGGATTTTCCGAAACGTTAATCGTTGTTACTGACTGAGCAATTTCCATTCAATTCACGTTTTATATAATCGCATTTTTATTTTTTGTTGTCAAAGAAGTTGTTTTGTTGTTGCACTGTTCATTTTTTGATGTGTTCGAATAAAGCATTATTGATAAAACTGCATTATGGCTTCGCACTCATCTCTGTTCTAACTTAAGATTGCTTGTTTCAATGCACTTTCATCACCAAATCCTGTTTTCATGGTCTTGTTGACTCCCATTCAAAAGTTTCATGTTCGGGGACGGGGTCGACATTGGGTTTTTTCTCCGAAATTCTCCGTCCCCGACTTTTCTTGAGCCGATCGTGTTTTCGGGGTTTCCGACTGCAATCTTCATCCCCGATTTTGCCCATCCCGGCTTCTTCTCTGTTCCCGTGACACTACATTGGACTATTTTGTGTAGTGTTAATGCTACGATCATAAATTGACGTTACCGCTTGGATTGTCTCATCGAATGCGGTGAGTTTAAGATCGCTCTTAAGTTGTTCTTTTCATATCAGTCGCTTTCTACATTTCGTCTGTTTCCAACTCGGAAACTGTTCGTGCGCAAGCAATAGTAGTCTTCAAAATAGCTATTAGCGGATTAACTTCTGAGTAGCGTTTTAGCGAAAACTGCCGCTATTTCTTCCAACTAGTGGCACTTTTAGCTAGGAGTTTCCCTACTTTTTCGTCAGCAGCGCTACTGGCTGATCATTTTCAGTGAAACGAAAATATTTTTTCGGCGACTTAGCGATTAGCGGAACTACTTTTTTTCAACAGCTTGCCCATCAATAAATGTTTTCTTGTTCTGTTCGAACAGCTCGAAGGGACAGTATTATTGTCAAGGTGTTTCGTATAGGCGTATAGAGTTGTATTTGAATGCGTGATGATTTATATAGCTGTATTACGCTATGAAAATGTTTTATAACATTTACTGTTTATGATGTTCGATGACGTCGGTTAGCATAATCGAGAAAAGTGGAGCTGAATGCTTGAGGTTTTTTACGTTTGCAATTTACGTTTACGAAGTAGCAGAATAACTACTCGGCCACTAGCTATTTCGCTATTTCGATAGTTTTTCGCAAAACAATTTCTAGGTAAGTTCAACTGCAATATTAAATTGCAAGTGCAATTTTTTGATAGAGTATAATTTGTTGTGTATATATATATATGCAGTATCAGTACGAGGTGCCAAAGCGCGATGCAATGCGTGCAGTTTTATGTTACAGTGAAGTAAGCTAAAAAGTGAAGCGATACATACGTGTTAGGTTGTTGTGTGTTTGTGAATTGTATATGATTCCTGGAATATTTCGTTGTGTGACGACGTTTTCGTCGCGTTTTATCTTCGGTCTTGCGAATCTGTGTCTTCCGGGAGCAAGTAATTCAAAAGCGAATATCGGATACGAAATGGCTGCTGAACCGGTGATCGTTCCAGCCAAAGGCAAACACACTGCTACAGTTAGTTATTTTTGATTGTCAGCTCTTCATTTTGAGATGCTTATTGTTATTTGCAGTAGTTACGTGGTGAATCGGTCGACTCACTCATCACGATTCAACGATCAGTATAGTGTGTTCGAATCGTTCTTTTAAACTTCTTGTTTGTTTGTCTTATGATTCCCGTACTTTAATTTTAATAGATCTATTTCCGATGACGTCTTCGCATCATCGGAAATAAGTTTACTAAAATTAAATTCGGTTGTTTTTTCGGGAAACAACGACTGTCTTTACAGATAATCTTCCTGCATGGACTTGGTGATACGGGTCATGGATGGTCGAGTGTTTTTGCTGAGGAAATACCAATTGAGCACGTCAAGTCCATATGTCCTACAGCGTCTGTATTGATTTATTTTCTTGATCTTCCTTCCCGATTTCGTGTTTTCTCAGATGTGAAACAGTTCCCATTATCCGACTGATTTCTCTTGCAAGGAAATTAAAAATGATGCAAGAGCAGTTGCTCATAAGTGGCGTTGGAATATGGTCGATTGATAATTGTTTAATAGTATCTATTAATTAAAGACCAATGATTCCGGTCACACTGAACATGGGTATGCGGATGCCATCATGGTTCGATCTTTATGGTCTTACTCCTGATACGCAGGAAGATGAGGATGGTATCAATCAATCAACAAAACTTATCCATTCTATGATCGATGAGGTATTTGTATTTCTGAGTTCAGTTGTTCTCAGTCAGAGGTATTAGCCGATAACGGTTCTGGCGCCGTTTCGGTACAAATCTGAAATCTGCTTTCCTTGATAGTTTTTTCCTTCTTTTCAGATGCTTCCTTGATGTGGCTTATTTTCAGTTCTATTTTCATGTTGCTTTTATGCACAGTCTATACAGATGGTTTGCGTGCTGTGTAGAAGTGAAACGTAGTCGATTTATTAGTTTCATTGATTATTCATTAGAATAATTAATCAATGCACTCCTCTATAATCATTCTTGCTAAAATTTATAGGAAATACGATCAGGTACACCTTCCGACCGAATTATTGTAGGTGGATTTTCAATGGGCGGTGCATTAGCACTGTATGCAGGTCTCACTTATGATAAGCCACTTGCTGGAATACTTGGTCTCAGCTCATTTCTTGTACAGCGCACAAAGATACCTGGCGTGAGCATTTACGTTGCTCTATTATCCCGTAATTCAGTGTGATTTTTTCACGATTTTCGTTCTCATACCAAAGTGGGAGTTCAACTGCCCAACGTTCCTGGATTGTTCCATGTGCATGACGAATGAAAACCCATTTTGGCCCTTTCCGATGAATTCATTCACCGTTTCTGCTTTTATTTTTTTCATCGTATGGTCGCGTATTGGGGTTTTTATGTGAGCAGTGTGCTAGATTTTATTGCATTGAAAAAAATCTCTTAAAAGAAGGCTGATTAATGAAAGCGAACAATTTTTTGCTTTCGACATCATATTGATATCATCTGCTTTTGCCCAATCAAGGGTAATGCTCAAAGAATCGGTTGACAGCAACAAGAAAGAATTCGTTTGAAGGGTAATATTAAATCAACAAATTGATGTGCAGCAAGTAGCCTAGTCATATTTGATAGGAAGTGTTCATCTCCATGGAAACAAGAGAAATCAGAAGAAGGTTATAACAATAGTAGAGTGCGCTTAATTGTTTTTTTTTTTGGAAATAGGGGGGGGGGGGAGTTGCCATAAAACTCAGAAGACGTTCAGTAAACCTAGCGGTGATAGTATATGGTTGTAATAAAGTTTCAAATTTCAAGAATCACACAGCGAACAAAGCAACTTGCATCTTTATGGGACATGGTGGATCTGATTTTATGGTACCGTTAGCGTTTGGTGAGATGACTGCCGCTCACTTGAAGAAATTCAATCCAAACGTAGTCTTCAAAACATATTCATCGATGGCGCACGGAAGTTGTGCAGAGGTATTAAAGATTCATTGATCAGCTAGATGCCATTGTAACTGCTTAGTCAAGCAAACATTTATTTTAAACATCCTCTTCACTGCACTCATCAGCTTTCTTCATCCGTTTAGTGCAGACTGCGTTCTGTGATTGTTTATTGAATGAATGATTTAGTTACAACTTAAAATAACAACTAGAGAGTAACTTCGGAATGCAGTTCAGTAATTTGCTACGTACTCCTGTAAAGCCTCACGAACACATAGATTTGGAGTGAGCAATGATTCATTGCATATACTCCATGCTTAAAAACGATTACTTTCAGGAGTTGGCCGACGTTAAAACATGGCTGATGCAGCGAGTGCCAAAAATACGAACTGAATTATGAACGATCATGATCACGGAGGCGATCTCGCACGCTTCTTTCAGTCTATTCCATTTTATTCGCTTTGTTATACGATTATGTTTATTATTAACATTAATGTCGTGTTCGTTACTTCTCAAATTCCTAGTTCTTTAAGTTGAAATCTTGTTATTCCAGTGGTAGTGTTTGATAAATTCGGTAATGTTTTTCTGAATTAATTGATTTAATTTGTGTGAAAATTTTCTACTGTCAAACCTGATTCCGTTTAATTTTTTGTGGCACTTAGGTTGTGCGTTTTTTTGTTATTAAAGTGTGATAATATGTTCGGTGTGTATCCATCCAAATAATGTGAGTGTCTCTTCCGTTACAGCATAAATTTTAGTTAGCGATTTTCATTGCATGTTTGCGCCTCGATGCACATGCTGTCTGCATTCGTGCTGATGGCTGTTTTCGAAATTGCCTAGAGTAGGTTGTTGCTGGAAAGCGTGCCTGAGAAAGTGTGGTTATGCAATGGAAATTTCTACATAAATTTCACGTTATCGAATATTATCTGTAGTTATTTGTATTGTGATTTTTTTGTTTACACCGAGAATAAACCAGTCATTGATATTTTACAAGACGATTAATTCGTTACAACTTCTTCAAAACGCATCCAATCAGTCTGCTCGCTAATTCACCACTGTACATAGTCACGGTTCTTACAGTGTACACAGTCGCAACCATGTACTGAACTCTTTCATTGCAATCGTTGATATCGCTTCAAATTCACATTTTGATGTCTTGATCCGGTTTTGTCAATTTTTTGGAAACGTTTGGGAATCCCCGAAAAACTTTGAGGAACTGGGACCCCACTACCATCTTGAAAAAGTCGGGAATGGATAAAAATGGAGATCGAATTTGCTTCGGGGACTCCAAAGGGACGAGTTCCCTAATATTCCCCCATCTCCGCAACACGCCATTTTGCGCTTTAAATAGCAGTTTACATTATCAATAAACAGACCAGCCAGAACGACGTACTTATAGGTATAGCAGTGGCTACTGATTTATCCTCATCCGTTCGAGTCAATCTTAGGCTTACACCTAGGCTTACACTTAGGCTTATGATTGGGCTCAGACTAGTGACTAGACTTACGAAGAGTTAAACTATTGGGCTCAGACTAACAAGTTTTTGGGAGAGGAAACGGAAAAGTTTTTGTAAGAGTTTTGGGAGAGGAAACGGAAAACGGTGTGAAGTGCGTTTGCTTGATAGGAGGAAAGTTGCTCATTATGAACGGGCTACGTCATCAACAAACGGCCATGCCCATTTCTGTGTTCCTTTGCCCATACGAATTTTTATAGGTTATCCAACACGATTCTGTACAAAGCGATTGCTTCGATGCTGCGAACTCTTTAACTTTCACCAGTCAAGACTTTAGTGGGTAAGAAAATAGAACGTGGAAGTGAAATATAAGTGCAAAAAGTTCGAGGATCACTGATTCATGGGAATGGAATGATTGATGTGCAGAGAGCGACGAGCTAANAGCAGTAGTGTTGGGTGGGGAATTGATGAGTGAGTGTAGGTGCCCATCATCTATCTGGTGTGTGCGTTGTTGTCAATGGAGCGTTGCGGTGGATGGTGCAGCATGGTTTTGTTTTGGTTAATCTGTAGTGTTGTTATTGTTATGCTCTATCGATCTGATCCACTGATGAACCACATGTTTGCGGTTTTTTTATTTTTTGCGATGAAATTTTCAGTTTTTCGTTTCGTAACATAAAATACAAAAAGTTGTCTAACTATTTGTAAGAAGTGGACATATTTCTAATTGTGATTAGTCACAATTAAGCGCGAATGAGTGTTGCGTTTGTTGGGTGGTCTAAATACGCATCACTTTCTCAGAACGCCTTTACAAGAGATAAACAAAGCCTTAACGGATAGAATGACCGACCACGATCCGTTTGGTGCAGCATCTTGTTTGTTTCTGATGTGAGGAAAAACTCTGCATGAAGCATCGTTATCCCTAGAAATGCTTTAAAGTGACAAGTTTTCTCATGTGAATGCATGCGATAATTAAGCACTAGTGTCACCGTCTTCACCTCTTCTCCATATCGGTCCAATAGTTATTCGAAGTTTGAGACCATCAATATAAAGCGGCAGTCAGAATTGGATGTGTATGGGAAGTAATCATTTTCCCTTTCCGATCGGATATCACTGCATGTGACGGGCGAAGGTTTTTCCGGAGTTTTGTTTGATTGATTGAGGCAAAAGCTTTAATTCTGCGCATCTTCGGTTCGTGGTGGTATTTTATTTTTAAGTATCATGCGATTGTGAAGCCAGCCAGCCTCATGTGGGATTGGAATCGTGATTTGGAACTTTCAGACCCGGCGAATTCAGGTTTAGGATCTTACCATAGAGAATCTCTCTTTTGAACGGGCCCCGACATCATGAAGACTGCTTTGTTTTACCCGCAGATGTGGTGGTTCATGATGATCGCAACAAAATTTGTTGTGCATTCGCTGCAAATAAATGAAATTTTCTTCATAATAATGTTGTTAAATGAGAGAGGACAGCATTCTGAGATGAAATTATTTGTCAGAATCTTTCACGGTGTTTATAGTGCCTTAATTGAATCTTTATTGTATTCTGTTTCATGTATCATTTCACTTTTCCCATCACTGCTTTTACCTTGCCGAGATCCCGAAACAAACACGAACGTTTTTTTAGCAAAAATTATTTTGAAACAGAAACTACTATTTCATCATTCGCGTATTCACTAGATAGCTGGAATGCAGTTGCAGACAGTTTTGTTGATGCTTGTATTTTTCAATTATTTCACATGATGTAACTAACGTATGTTCTATTTTATTATATCACAATATTTCATATGGAAAATGGTGTATAGATGTGTCACCATAAATGATATATGTATGTATTGTTTGAGAGTGAAAGAGGAGCAGCAATTCATTCGCACAACGTTGTTGAATCATTATTTATTTTCGAGTTTAGCTACTTTCTGTTGTTCTGTTTCACATACAATAAGAATTTCACTGCTAACCTCTTTGTGGGTGTTTGTATGTACAGTTACAGTTTAAGTCAGAATTGGTTGAGTTGTTCTTTTCCGGAGTTGAATCCATCCTTTGAATTCGAGGAAATTCATTGCTAATTTAGTTTATAAGGGAAAGAAGGAAGACGTTCCTGTAGCAGAGGAAATAATGGTTGCACATTCAGCGTTTCTTAGTGGAACAATGAATAATTATCAGTTGAATTAAATCGTTGAATGATGCGAAATTATGATGAACAAATATTGGCTAGCGATTCGCGGTTGAATTGTGATATTTGTGTGAGTTATGCCTTGCTGTTCAGTGCAGAATGTCGTTCGAATTGTCATCAAACGAGACGTTGATCGAAATTTCGTCTCCGCTCAGTGAGCCTCATCCATCTGCGAAGCCATTAATGGCAGCTGATGTACGTTCGACTGATGGCAAATATCATCGTTTAATATTCGATCCAAATAGACCGCTTATCCAGTTCACATTAACTGGGTTAGTTGAGTGTTTCCTTGTATCATTTCTTTGTTGTATTGTTATTTGTAAATATTGTCACGAGATTAGATTTTGGTCTGAATTTTGCTGCTTTCCAGAAGCAATGCCAAACAGCCACCTACTATGTTAAAAGATCTTAACGAATTATTGAGCGTTCGAGGTACGCCAATTCGAATGAGACGCGGCTTACCTGTGGATTTGAACAAGGTATTATTAAAAGAAAAAAACATTTCGTCGATTACAGATAAACAGAGGAGTCACACAAAATTTCGTTGGTATAGTGCAACATTTTCCATTCTCCGTAAAATGATAATGAATTTCTTTGATTTTGGAGCATTGCGCTCAATAACATGTAATTGATTTCTCAATGGTTTTCATATCAGTTGAACTTACGGGAAGTATTTTGAGGATGCAAAACAAGTGGACACGCCAAATTCACTGTTTTTGTATTTTGCTGAAAAGAAGAACAAATGTCGCTGGCGTATACGTGAAGTGGTCGCTCGTTTCACCACTTCTAGTGAGAAGAAGCATTGGCTTGATGAGCTCAGTAATGCGCTCAAAGGTATTACACATTTTCGTTTTTTTTTTTTTGAAGCCTGATGTATAGAACGAATTGTGCAGGTTGCTTTAATTTCTGAATTGATTTGATTTTTTTGCATTCGTAATATTACTTTCAGAACTGAAACAACGCCCGAAAACGCTGTTGATATTTGTCAATCCTTATGGTGGCAAAGGTAAAGCCAAAAAAGTTTACGCCGAGCAGGTTCATTAAAGTTCTAATCTTGAGCTGTTTCGACCTCGTTTATTTATTTTAAATTATGCTAGCGCATAATGTCTCACAACAACTGCTCTTTATTCGTTTAGCGGACAGTGCAACTGCTGTAACAAAATCTATGGCCATTATATGAAGAGCAGTGAATTACTTGCAGCATCTATCTTGACCTAATAAGTTCAGGTGGAGCTAATTCTTAAAATGGCAAACATCGACTGTGAGGTGGTAATGACGCAGCGTGCAAACCATGCATTTGATGAACTGAAAAACTTAGTCGATTCGAGGTGGAAGACTGTAGACGGCGTTGTTTCGGTTGGTGGCGATGGACTGTTCAACGAATGTCTTTCAGCTATCGTTTGCAGGTATCATTATATTAATATGGTCATCGTTGCGCTTGAAATGAGGCAGTTTCTGTTTAGATCACAAGAGGAGGCTGACAAAGATATAACGGATATCAACGTGGATTGCTTGAAAACTCCTCGAATGCGTTTCGGAATTATTGGTGCTGGATCAGCCAATTCTATTGTTTCGTCGGTGCATGGGACAGATGACTGTCCAACAGCGGCGATTCACATTGCAATGGGTTTGTAACAGGATAATATTTTCTTCGCTTACGCTCCTCGGATTCTATATTTTATTCATCCAATGAAAGACTACCAGTTTATCAAATTTATTTTTCGGTATGCATTATTCGCAAGTGAGAATATTCGATGGTCTCGATTTTGTTTGATTTCAGTGCGATTCATCATTTATACTTGATGAGTGTCAACGTCGACTTTTAGAATGCTCATTCGTACTCTTCCAGGAAGCCAGTGTTCTGTTGATGTGTGTACGGTGCATCGCGGTCACGATCTGATGCGCATATCAGCTAATGCTATCTCTTATGGTTGGTTGGGCGATGTGCTCGCTGATTCAGAACGCTATCGTTGGATGGGTCCATTGAGATATCAATATTCTGGTTTGTTGCATTTTATCTGTGTCGTTTCAAATGGCCTCGAATGACAACTATGCACACTGTGAGGAACAGATGCCTATCAAAATCAGAATCTAGAATTAACAATTGCTGATACTGTTTTGCCCAATTATTAATGATATCCAACAGACACAGGCAATCCTTGATATTATGCACCGCTGAACTGTTTACGTGAGTTAGCATTGGAACAAACGTTGTTTAAACGAGCGATGCGGCAATTCTTCAAGGCACTATATCTGTAATACTTGTTCTCCCATATACAATCAGTGGTATCATAGAGGTAAATGCTTGTATGCAAGCGCATCTAATTTCAGCACTTAGAACGACAATTCGGAATCCTTCCTACTTCGGACGTGTATCATTTTGTCTGATCAATGAAGATGATCAGAAGCAACTTGACGCATTTCCAAAATGTGCAGAGGGGTGTACCCTTTGTGAAAGGTTTGTCCCATTGCACATCTCTTGACTTGTATCAGTATGAATTTAATTAGATCTCTGCTCCAATTTGAATTCTGCTATTTTATGTGATAAATTGAATCAGGAACGTATGCATTCGCATCCTGTCAAAGAGAATTCATAAACTGATTTAATGATGTATGAAAACTTTTGAAAATGTATTTGGATCCTCTAAAAATTTTTTCGGCATATACGCGCCACTGGTTGGAGACTAAGTAGAGGTATGAAAATTATACGTGCAATAAATGAGTGGTTCATTTGTGGGTTGATGCAATATTCATAAATTTCAGTGGCACTAGACGCGATGGGTCATATATGCATCATGTACAAACGGACTTCTCACACGTGATCGGGTGTGTAATTCCATGCGTAAGTCCATTCACACCATACGGTTTGGCTCCGTATGCTGGTGTTGGTGACGGCAGCATGGATCTGGCACTGGTGTCGCGTGTAACACGCTGTGCGAATATGACTTTCATGAGTAAGGTTGCGATGCATGGGGGTAAGAGTGTTGTGGCCAGAAATAGTACGTTGAACGTTTTTCGTGTCACCAGATGGGCGTTCACACCAGCCGCTCTAGTGCATTCTCAAAAAGGAAATAATGGCACGGATCAAGAAAATCAAGGAGTTTGGAATTTGGATGGGGGTTTGTTATTAGTTCTTCAAATTTTGACATCCCTACTCGGATTTGTTTATGAAGTCATTATCGCAGAACGCTTAAGTTGATTGTTATTATCGCGTGGATTTAGTCTAAATTTTATTGTTAACTTCATTTGTATGTTTTTGTTGCGAATACCGCGAACTCAGTCGTCATCTTGAATAGAATGTTCTCATTTCTTATTTCTCTATTCACCAAAATTTTTTTTGCAGAGATTCTACCACAACCTCCCGATGCAGCGTTCCACTTCCGGTGAGTTTTCGAATATTCTTTCCTAGCGAAAAAAAAACAGAATTTTCATTTACTGAAGAATCATCGATTTTTAACCCAAACCCTCATCCTAATTTAATTCGACTCAAGACACGTTTTAAATTTGTTCTTATCAACGATCACTCTGCTTTTAAAACATTGAAACATACCGAATACTCGTATCCATCGATTGACATGCTTTCGTCGTAAGTGGTACGCGCGGATTTGAACTCAAATTGAATTCCATCTTAATTATCTTAATTTGGAATCATGAATTCAAGATTTCCAAAGTTTGAAGCTAGTTAACTGGTGAGATATTTTGTGTTGCCTAAGTCAGCTCGTTTATTGTCTAATGAATGTAACAAATCAAGGAGTTCATTTTGAGTGGTGAATATTTTTTTCATTTAGACTTCATCCTCGTCTTATCAAGTATTTTGGACGTGAACTGGAAATGAATCAGTTGAAAACGAAGCGAACTAAGTGTTGTGGTAGTGGAAAAAAGCAGTATTCGAACATTATTATCGTTGATCAAAAGTGAATGATGAATGGACCACACATACTACCGATCGAACGTAAACTGCAAGCTTAACGAGCAACATTCAGCCGTTTTTCTGAATGACCAATTAGCGATTCATACATGCATTCATCAGCGAAGTCGTCCTTCTGATCCACTTCGAACTGTTGCTTGTATTCGTTCTTGTTTATTTAATGCGATTGCTCCAAGTTTTTGAAGTGTAATTTTTTTTTGCTTTCTTACACACAGCACTTATCATCTGTAATTACTCAGCGAATATTTTTTGATGAACTGAAATTGTTGTATGGATGAACAAAATTTGAAATACTGTATTGTAAATGAGATGAATTATTAACTCTGGAAGAGTTATCAACGTACGACTGCTGGACCATGCGAAGCAATTCTGTGCACGTCGTTTGGTATACTTTGCACTCGACTTTCAGTGATTGTCTGTAATCTTTTATTATTTTCATTGCATTTTTGCTTCAGTTGGACATGTTATTTAGCACAACGGTTGAAAGGCACGATCAATTCACGTGAGCAACATAACTGACTTTGATTAATTTCATGTTGTTGTTTTCTGCCTTTGTTTCTAATGGCGATTATCTTGCACCAATTTCTTTTTGTATATGTTATTTGCATACGCATAATTGTCATGATAAAAGCATCAGATGATTGCTGTGTTGCATTGTTATAGCCTGCGCTTTGCTCATGAATTCATTTGTAACAACTATGAATGGCGCATTCAGAGTGCTATTGTCGAAAAGTCATAGACAGGGAGAGAGCAGTCGAGTTTTGATCATTAACCCGAAATTCTGCACGGAGTTGAAGGGAGGGGGAATCTAAGCAGGAACGATGGCTTTATCTCAGTTGTTGTTAACATCGCCTTAACGATGGAATCACTTTAGAATGGGAATTTATAAGAAATATGAGCTTTACGGCTTGGACATTTCGAGTCAAAGGGTTTGGTCAAAATTGTTCATTGAGGAGGGTCATCAAAACAGATGAGTTTTATTACGGCGACAAAGTTTGATTTGTGTATACAAGAAGCAACGCTTCAGTTTGTTTACATTTGCTACATAAGGGTTTATGCTGCACACAGACAACCGCCAAAACTGAATCGAAATCATTCCTGGTACTGGGTATGAATAACCGGAGATTCTGGAATGGCAAAAAAATCGGAAAACTGGCACCGAAATATGTTTGTTCTGTTCTAGAGTGGGAAACGCATACAGACGCCATGTTTTTGTGATGGAATAATAAATCAAAAGTTGCAAAGCTTTTTATTGTATAACCGGAGTGAGTGGAATAAGCGATGAACTGACGTTAAAAACGTTCTCAAAGAACATGCAAATCAGTAGTGAAGATTTTCAAATGAGAGTTTAGTAAAATCGTTTGAAAAACGCAAAAATCTCACTCGATAAATTTCAAAAGATTTAACAGTGTCCATTAAATTTCAGTCTCCAACCACTACTAACAATCTCCAATAAAACATTTCAGACACTCGAACGTTCTCGACATCACTAGTTTCCGCTACAGTCATTCATTCCTCATTCGTTAAATGTATGTCTTTGTGTACACCGTTTGATTCAGATGGATCTCTACATTCAGAAAAACATATATTTTGTCGAGCAATTTTGCTTACTTGAAGAGATATAGCTATTTTATTAAAGTTATCTCAACTAGCGCAAAGGTGCTCATTGATATGCATTTGATCACAACAGATCAATGTATCTCAACTAGTGCTGAGGTGCTCATTGATATTCAATTGATCACTCAATGCTTATTATACATTACTATAGAAATATAGGTTTGATACATTCAGGAATGCTTATTATACATTACTATAGAAATATAGGTTTGATACATTCAAGACTATCTCAACTAGTGCTGAGGTGCTCATTGATATTCAATTGATCACTACAGATCAATGCTATAATACTTACTATAGAAATATAGGTTTGATACATTCAAGCCTACCGTCTTCTCACGTTTGCCCAGTAATATATTGATGTTTATGAATCATTCGAACGAACAGAATCACTGCTTTCTGAAAATGAAAATTTTGCCGAGAAATTCTTGCTCTACGAGGAGATATAGCTATTTTCCTGATGCTACAGGGGTTACCCACTTCAAGGCTACCGTACTCTCAGCTTTGACTAGTAAGATATCAATTTCTTTACACCATTCGATCGAGCAGAATCTCTGCATTCAGAAAAACATATATTTTGCCAAGCGATTGTGCTTAATTGAGGAGATATAGCCACTTTTATAGACCGATCTCAAATAAATAGCGCAGTCGCGCTGATTCATACAAATTGATCACAATAGATCAGTCAATACGTTCACATAGCAATAGGTGGTTTGCGATCTTCGAGCTAACCGTATTCTCAGGTTTGGCCATAAACATGTGAATTTCTTTTCACCGTTCTATCCAGCAGGACCTCTGTATTCAGAATATTATAAGTTTCACTGAGCAATTTGGCTTAGTTGAGGAGATATTGGTATTTTATTAATACTATCTCGATGCCACCTTCAAGGCTACCGTATTCTTTTTTTCCAGTAACATATGAATTTTTTTGCACCATTCGATCCATCTGAATCTCTTCTCAGGTTTGCTTACTGAAATCAATTTATGAAATTCGATCGTTTGATTGTATTTATATCAGTATTATAATGTAAGGTATTTAGATCAGTGCGTTTGTGAGACTGGTAGAATCTCACCGAATGCGGTCTACTTTGAAAGGAAAATCACAGAAGAGATTGATAATTTTATGTCAGTTTTGTTTGATGTGCTGTGATATAGATTTTAATTAGACAGTGATAATGATGAATTGCATATTATTGAAGCAGTTTCAACACAGTCCTAATCAAACACCGAAATTGTGCATTGGAACATATTTGCCCCCATATGGTGTTCTCATACCTTTTATTCACATCTTAGAAATCATATTCTGCGGTATTCTATTCGAATGTTGTCGATCGTTTCGATGTGTGCATGCAGGGTTACTTTATATTATTCATTCAGCAG